TTACTGTCCGTTGTCCGAAACGCCTGAATCTGAGAACCAAACTCATCTTTAGGACTCAAAGCTCTTTTCCACTTCACTGGTTTCGGAAACAGAGCGCCAGAATCTACCACCAAATGAATATCAGTTTGTAGGCAACGAACTAAAAACGCTAATTTTACTTGTAAAGTATAAAACAATAGACGTAGAAACAACAATTGGAGCTTGTCCCAATTGGTAACGTGCTCCCCATACTTTCTTCTCCCACCTGAGTTTGATTCCTAGTTAGTTGTTGTTTAAACCCATTTTTTTTTAATGAAAGCCACGTCACCAATATTAAACGGAAAGGTGACTCACTTAACGGTTTTGTGTAAAATGACCATTTTTAAATACTTCATGTAGTAAATTCAAAAATTAATCTAGTTTATGTGTGTTTTGACTTGATTTAATAGTTCAAGTATAAATAATCAGCAACTACTATGTTCAAGAGGGAATTGGCCGTTTTCCTCAATGTATTATAGGCTTATAATAATAATATGGACTCAATGATGTGATGAACAATTCTTTCCTTCTCTCATTTTGCCTCGTTTTTTAATAATATCAGTGATGTATTATGTTTAGAGTTTCTTTTATTAAAAATGGCCAAGTACTTTGCAGATACCAGAAGCATGTCAGTTTCGATCACTTTTTGAGATTATGAAGAAGCAGTGGCCTTACAATCACCACCATGAAAGAGTGTTATATCTCCGAACCTAAAAAGACTTGCTTCTCTATATCATTCATAACCAACGGCCAAAAAAAATTAGGAGTTTCAAGACACAAGAAAGAATATTATAGTATTATTATTATCATCTCATACAAAATGATGTTTAGAAGAATTAAGTATGTTAAAAATAACCTCGTGTGTGTTAACTAGGTTCTCTCTTCTTTTTTTTATTCCCACTCTTTCGTCAATATCAAAATGGAGTGAAGCCACTAATCAAGTTCTAGACTCTTTTTCATAGCTTCGTAAACCATATACGTAATGCTTGCAGCAGGAACAACCTTTAGAAGATTTGGTAGAAGCCCTTTGTAGAGTGCTTTGTAACCTTCTTCGCTTATTGTCCTCCTGAATACTCCCGACATTGAGGTCCTTGTTCGTTCTGCTTGCATTCTGTGTCACACACATAAAACATATATGAAAATACTTCACATCCCATTCCCACAATATCTGATTTATGCTTGTATATGTAATTTGTGCGGAGAGCAAGCAGGAGACGCAAATACGCTCAGATATTACCTTGTTCTAACAACTTGCAAAGGATAAACACAGGTTGCTCCAAGAGCTCCTGAGATTGTTCCGCATCCTAGTTGCACAAGCGGACCTGGTTCTGAAGACCAACCCCGAGCCCAGTTTTATGAGTGCACGCTCAAGCAGATTCGGACAGAATATAAACTATAGCAATAAAGAGATTTACCAGTGTCTTGAAGAATATATGTCCTGGATAAGTCCTTCAATTTCTCATATGCAGCAAGGTCGATACCCGCATAAGGAATAATCCCAAGAAGAGAAGGAAAAAGACCTTTGTAAAAAGCGCGTGGACCCTCATGAACCAATATGTCTTTAGTTAGCGTTCCAAGCTTGGGCACAACAACCCCTGCTTGGCTAGTGCATGTCTGCAACCGAGTTTTCACAAGATCTAAAGGGTATATAGAGGCTTGAGCCACTGCACCCGCCATACCTCCAGCAAATAGTCTAGCGGTTGTGCCTATATCCGCTTTGTCTTCACCCATGTTCTCACCAATAGCATTTTTGAAAAGCTCATATGCATAGAACTTGATTGCACTCTCTGGAGCTACCTTAACAATATTCAATCCGTTACCTCTGAAAAAACTCCGGACCCCACCCTGCTTCCATATCGTCTTTACAGCTTCTCTGATTCTAGCATCAGTTTTCTGAATTTGCAAAAGAACTTTTAAGCGATCAAGAGGTGCAGTCGCGGTCCTAGAAGCTGCACCGGCTATGCCACCTGTAAAAGAACTATTTTGTCGTCAAAAAACTTTTAAAATCAAGCTTTGTTTAAGCTGTTGAGAGAAAATAAGCTCATAACAATTAATGAAGTCCACCTGCGATAAAATAGTTGCTTCTCTTCACATGTTTGCTGATGCCTTGTGGAATAACGGCCTGTTCTCCAATATCTACAAGACATACTCTTTCCCAGTGGTGGTATATATTTTCAATGGTGGCTTCGTGAGGGTACAACAAAAGAAAATCTCTCCATTCTTCAAACATTATGATTCCATCATTGTCCTTGTCAACGTGTTCCACAAAGCGAGCGAGCTCCTCATCATTTATCTCAATGCCTGCAAAATAGAAACTGTTGTGGCTTATAGGACGTAAACAGAGCAAAAGCACAAAAGTTGTAGTTGAAATTTCTACACAGGACTAAGACAAAATTAGAGCACATAAATGGAAATTAACAAGCCTTATCTTTAAATGCCAGACAGTGAGGGTATTAACTATGGTACACAAAATGAAACCAATAGGAAGTCTTCATAAGTACTTCAAACTCAACCTTTATAGATGCTGGAGGCAATTCTAAACTCAAAAGAACAAAAAAAAATAACGAAACCAACGATCATTCATATGTACATATAATAGCGAAAAGCTTAGCACAATCTTATCAACCTAGACCGAAAGCTTTCCTTGCGAACCATGATTCTCCCTAATTACCACTCTCATCCTTTACTTTCCAAGATTGCATCACCAGAGAATATGCGAAGCTAGTTTATTCACCGAAGACTATCTCACTCTAAAAGTCAGCTAAAGATACCATGATCTAACAAATGCTCACCCTCCCCACTTGACAATCCAAGCAAGCATTGGAATAATCAGGGGAGAAAATTATACCGGCCTTAACGAGCGAATCCCAGAGTCCCTCAGGCGAAATGCAACCGTTGTGCTCAACATCAATAGCTTGAAAAATTCTGTACAACTCGACTTCCTTATCGTCCATGTATCGACGAAACTCGTGATAATCTACGCGCCCGTCACGATTCGCATCACAAACCCTGAACAATTCCTTGGCGTATTTGTACCCACTTGGGATTTGAAGCGCGATTAACCCCTTCTCGATCTGTGCGCAATCTAAGTAGCCCATATTCTCAGAATCGAAGAAACTGAATAGGCTCCGGATTCGCACATCTCGTTCCTCTCTGGTTTCACGGAGAGCGAGAAGAACATGATCCATGGAAACGGGTCCGGATTTCTTGACCGGGTTGCAGCAACCCTGTTTGGATTTCTTAGCTTCCATTTTCGTGGGCAGACCCACGTGCTCCACGCCATGAGTCGACATGATCGATCAAATCGGAATCGAATCAAATTGCGTTTCTGGGTCGCTGATTGATCATATCCTCCTTCTCTAGATCTACAAAGAGATATGTAATGAATCCGATCTACAATCACCAGAAACGCTCACCATTTAAAACCACGATTCGCCCGTAACGTCTGAGGGAGTTTCAAACCCGTTTTCCGATGCGATGACGAGTAAGATGATCAGTATCCGCTTTGAAAATCAGGAAAAGATGGAAGAGAAAACTGAAGAAAGAAGGAAATATTGATTCGAAGAAGACAATGGGGATTTGTGCTGATGCTGCTGAGGT